AGGTTGGGGCTGGGACAGTAGAGGGGAGGGAAGCCCAGGGTTCCCAGAGGTGTAGGTCACACAGGAGGAGAGGCCCTCCATGGAACCAAAAGGCTACTTGGCCACCTCAACCCCAGAGGGCCTTGAGAGGTCTCTGCTCCAGGCCCTGCTGGACCTGTGAGTTGGTCCTGGCAGAGCGAGGCGAGAATGTGCGTGTTGGAGCCACCGGGCCATGTCCAGCAGCTGTGGGGAACCCAGTGCACTTGAGAGGAGGCGTGGCTTATCTGAGGGGAAATTCACCCTATTTCAGTAGAAGCTGAGAAAGGATACCAAAAACCCCCAAGGGCGCCCTTCTCTGCAGCAGCTGCAGTTTCAGTGAGTACACCAGGGAGCAGCAGGGGGGGCTCTGTGGGAGTGCAGAGCAGGAGGGTCACCCCTCCCCTAGGACACAGAGGATGGGGCAGGGGTCCAAACTTGCTCAGCCAGCCCCCTGGCTACCTCTTTGGGGTGGGCCCCCTCCCCACTCTACCTTCCCCTTGGGCTCTGTCAGCTCAGCCCTTGCCTCCTGCTGAGCCCCCTGATGCCCAGTGCAGCCCCACCCAGCAAGCTATGTCCCTCCTTCTGTCCCTGTGGCACCGCCCTGGGTCCCCTCTCCTGCCTGTCCCTGGTGTTGCTCCCCCAGGCAGCAGCGGGTCTCAGAGGCTCTAACTTAGAAACTAGAGAGCACAACTGCCTGGAGCCCACAGGCTCCTCCGCTCTGCTCCTGCCGCAGTTTTGCTTTCTCTTTCTCTTTCTCTTTCAGCCGAGGACAGCAATGGCAGCAAGTCCTGGTATGGAGGTCCGTCCTGGTCGTGGGGATCCTGGGCAGGTGGCCAAGCTCTGAGCTTCCTGAGGAGGGACATGAAGCCTCCATGGAGATGGAGGCCTCCTCTCTGGAAACTGGCCCCCAAAGCTGAGGCTCTGAGGCTGGTGAGTTCCGGGATCCCTTCCCTGTCTGTGCCCTCTCTGCTCCTGCTGTTCTCAGCGACTTCTCCCTCCCTAGTTCCTTCTCTGCCGTTTCAGGCTCTCACTCTCTGGGACCTCAGCCGCAGTCGTCCAGCTCTCTCCAGCCTACCTGTTCCCCTTGTGATGGCCTCACCTGGGGTCAGAGAGACAGGCAGGAGCGTCCCAGCCCTCCCAAGTACTCCCTCCTTTCTCTCCCTCACCCACCCTCACCTGCTTCAGAGGCAGCTGCTGAGACCCTCACGGTGGAACAAGGGCATTTCCTGGGGCTAGAAAGCCTTGAGCTGAGCTGTATCTTTGGGCGGAAACCATAGAGCCGTTAGTCTATCTCCACCTGCAGCCTTGACCTGGCTGATAAATTCCATGTTTGTGTGGGGGGTGGGAGTGAACCTGGGCGTGGACAACTCCTTGGCAGTGTGCCTTTTCTGCTTGCTGGGTCCCTCCCTCACCAGCCCTCTGGCAGCCAGTCAAGTTCCAATAAGACGACTCTTCACCCCAGGACTCTGACCAACCTGTCTCCTTCCTCTGGCCTGTGAATCCACTGAGGGTTGATCCCAGTCAGACCCTGCTGGCTCTAAGGGGTCCAAAGACCCAGCACAGACTACAGAGGGCCATCAGATTGTGAGCCTACCAGGGTGCTGGTCTCCCTGGGCTGGGGTAGGGGGTCCCTTGAGAGGGCCGAGACCCAGCAGTCAGTGTCCCACATTGACAGACAGCTGGGTGGAGGCTGGAGAAGGGCCGTTCCCCACTCCATTCCAGGCTCCAAGGATCATTTCAAGTCACCTCTGAGTCTGTTCTGGACCCACCTGAGTCACCCCTCCCAGGGCACTGCCAGCCACAGAAGCTGCCGCTTCCCTTCTGCCCAGAGGGGGAGACTGAGGCCCAGGGTGGTCCAGGCTCCTCCTTCCCATGTTCTCCCTCTCCCAGGCACTGTACCTCCTCCTCCTGGGACCCCGCAGCACTGCTCTGCCCACGTGCACAGAGGAGGAGTACCCTGTGGGTGCCCAGTGCTGTCCCAAGTGCAGCCCAGGTAGGTACAGCCCTGGGAGGGGTCAGCCCTGTGGGACCCCTGCGGGCCAGCACCGTGGACCATGGGTGGACACGCCTGCTCTGCCCTATTGTTCTCTGCCTACCGTCGTGAATTTCATGAAGCCAGGTCACAGAGAGTGGATGGCTTGGGACCTGAGGGCAGAATCCCTGTAGCCTGGACTCTTCACCTGTGGGGCCCTCACAGCTACACTGACTGGGGGTGTGCCTGGGGATGCAGCCAGCCCATCATGACTGGAGGATGAGGCTCAGAGCGAGACAATGCCAGGGTAGAGCCTGGTGGTCTAAAATTGGTTTCAAGCCAACTCCGTAACCTTTACGACTCCATGCATTCTTCCAGAACTTTCTGCCTTCCCCCAAAGCAGACACACTCCTACAAGACAGCTGGGCTGATATGTCCTCTGGAGAGAATAGCTCAGGGGCCTTGGAGTTCCAGGGATAGTGTCACACCTGTTTGGGACTCCAGATGGGAGTGAAGGGTGGCTATGAAAACCTGCCAACCCTCTGGACTGCAGGTTATCACGTGAAGTACACCTGCGGGGAGCTGACAGGCACAGTATGTGTCCCCTGCCACCCAGGGACCTACACCACCCACCACAATGGCCTGAGCGAGTGTCTGCAGTGCCGAGTCTGTGAGCCAGGTAAGAGAGCTGGCCCAGGCAGCTCCACCCTCCGCCCAAGCACCTGGGGTGCCTAGCACCCCACACCCCCAAGGCCACGACTCCCCCAGGTAATTCCTTGGCTGCCTCTGGGCGAGGCCCATTCATGTCCTGGGTGTTCCCTATAGAGGCAACCTTCAAGGGAGCCTCAGACTTCTGTCCACACCTGTCTCACCCAGCAGAGTGAGTACCTCACCTGTCATTCTGTCACCCAGGCCTCCTGAGCTCTGTGCCTTCATTCTCAGCTCCTCTAACTGAGTGACCTGCTGGGTGACCTGGGCCCTCTCCCATGCCTCAGTTTCCCAGCCTATGAAGTCAGGTTGCTGGCCATGCTGGGCATCCTTCAGTGAGCGTTGAGACAAAATGCTACCCCCCTGCGGCCCTTGCTCATTTCTCCTCCTGATGTTGGAGCCCCATGTGACCCAGGGAGAGTGGTCACTTGGAATGCTAGTGCCTACTTGAGTTCAAACACAAGGAAGGGAAAAGCATATATGCGAAGCCCTGTGAGGAGAGACTGCCCCTGGAGGCCAACAGCCTCATCTCAAGCACAGTCCAGCAGGCCCCCTACGGCCCAGCACTGTCCCTGGGCCAGGCAGGTCCCCAGACACTGTCTTAGCTGTGTAGTTAGTGCTGGCCTCAACCCTGAGAAGGAAGGTGAGGTGACTACCCATTTCACACATAGGGAGACTGGAGCCTAGAGAGTCATAGTACCCCAGGTCAACGAGGGCAGACAGACACCACCCCGCCCCTGTCTCCAGAACCCCTATTCTTCTCATGATTTAAGACATACAGTTCTGGGGTGGGGTCCCCACTTCCTGGAATAGGGAGTGGGACAAAGGAACAAAGGGGCCGAGGAGAGAGGAGAGAATCTAGACTTAGAACTCAGGCTAGGTCCTCGGGCCTCTCCCTTGTCCCCGCCATCTGACAGCCCAGGCCAGAGCCCAGCTGGCCCAACACACAGTGAGGCCTCCCCATGAAGGACTAGGGCTGACTGTACAGGGAGAGGCCAGCACCTGTGCTCCTGGGAGTGTCCAGGGCAGGTGGGCTGGGGAGGGAGGACGTGGATAGAGGAGGAAGCTAGCTGTATGTTTGGAAGTTCAGTGGGTGAGGAAGGGGAGCTACCTCCTGGAGCTGCACCTATAATTCCTCTACCCCCAGCACTGCCCTGAGACAGCATCTGTGATGGGGCAGAGGGTGTGTAAAACCAGGAGAAACATGGGGCGGGGGCAGGGCCAGACCAGCTGCCGCCCCCAACCCGATGCTGAGGAGCAGGAGGCTCTCACTACTCCTGGCTCTGCCCTCGGCTGTTCTGCTTGGTACGGAAGGGAAACCCCTCTGATAGGAGAATCTCCTGCAGTGGGTGGACCTTGGGCTGGGACCTGCCTCCTGGAGCCCCTGTGGCTGACAGTGCAGTTATGAGTGTCTGTCTGGGCCATAGTGGGCACAAGGCCTCATTTCTCCATGAGGTCCAGCTCCTAGGTAAGGAGACCCTCCTGGGACCCCTCTGCCTCCCAGGAGCCCTACCTTCTGCTTCCATTTCTCCCCCTCACTGCTATCGTCCTGTTATTCCGCAGTGTCCCTTTGGGACTCAGATACTCAGTCAGGCACCTCTAGAAACAGTGTTGTGTCTGAACGGGGCTACAGCCAGGCAGGGGGCCTTGGGAGAGGCCAGAGTCAGGGCCCAGAAACTCAGACACGCTGGACCGCTCTGTCACCCAGACCTGGGCTTCCTGGTATTGTCCAACATCTGCTTGGTCCCTCCTGGGACAGGATACCTCCATGACTCCTGACAGCTCTGCAGCCTCTCAGTTTCTTCTCTTGGGTCCCAGCCATGGGCCTGGTCACCAGGAGGAACTGCTCCAGCACAGAGAACACCGTGTGCGGCTGCAGCCAAGGCCACTTCTGTGACGTACGGGATGGGGACCACTGCATCGTGTGCCGGCCCCTCACCGTCTGCCGGCCTGGCCAGAGGGTGCTGGAGAGAGGTGAGCTGGCAGGTGACGGATGTCCCCCATAGCCCAGCCCCAGGTGTAGACATCCTGGGCTCCTCAAAGTTGTCTGATGGGACAGAAACCTTGACCAGCCCCAGGCCCACCCATCATAGTCTGTCTTGGCTGTAGTAAAAAAATGGAAAGTCTACATGGGGTGGGGGAGAGAGCAGGGAGGGCTAGGAAGGAGGGGGAAGCTGGCAAGGACCTCCACTGTTGGCTCTGCCCCGACCTCGTGCCTCCCTCAGTCTGACCTCACTTAGAGTGTGAGTCCCCAGCTCCATCACCCCCTGGCCAGGACTTTCTCCACAGTATTCATCTAAGGCAATGTCCATGGAGGGGGTCCTAGACAATTAAGATCCCAGTCTCTTGGTGTCCAGGGCAGCTCTGAGCCCACAACCCCTGAGACTCCAGTCCAAGATTCCCAGCGAAGTTCAGCCACCTCCCTGCTGCAGAGCAGCAGAGCCAGAGGGACACAGAGAGACAGACCCCAGGCCCTGCTAGACATGAGAAGCTCAGTCTTCACCCACCCCTCTCTTGGATTCACAGGCACCGAGAGCCAGGACACCATGTGTCAGGACTGCCCACCAGGGACCTTCTCTCTCAACGGGACCCAGGAAGAATGCCAGCCCTGGACCAGGTGGGTGCCAGGGAGGGGCTCCTCCACACTCTCCTGGGAGGTGGTGCCCTCCCCCAGCAGAGACCCAAGGCCCCACCCCGGGTGGTACCCAGTGGCACCTACCAGCATCCAGGAGAGCCCCTTCATCCAGGGTGAAGCCTGTGTCCCAAGGTAACAGGCCGCAGTGGTCCCAGAGCAGAGTTTGGACAGATTCAAGCTTCTTAGAGATCAGGGTGGACTTTCCTGGAAGGAAGCTGGAGGGGCACTGTTTTGCTACTTTCCTGTCCCCTATGGTTCTGGGGTGCTTCTGGGTAGTGAGGTGGTGATGGGGGCTCCCTGCTCTTCTAGAGGTGGGGAGACTGTCAAGGAAGGCTGTCAAACTAAGGACAGGGCTCTTTCTGCAGCATGACCCCTTCCCAAGTAGGCTTAGACCCCAGAACTCACGTAGGCTCTGGAGTCTATGGGAGGAGTACTGGGTGGGCCAGGTGTGGCTGTCCAGGGAGGGGTACAGGCCTCTCCCCTCTTCTGCCCCCTTGTCCTCTGTCTCCAGCACTGGCCCCTGTGTCACCAGCTCTAGCTGTCACTGTCTCCACCTCAATGCCAGCTCTCCCCCACTCTGCTCTGGCCTCTGGCCTCTGGCCTCCTGGCCACCTTTACTCTCTTCTCCTCTCTCTCTTTTGTTATCTTGTTCTTTGTCTTTCTCTCCTCTGTCCTTCCTCTCTTCATCCACCATAGTGGAGCCTGAAAAAGTTGGATATACCTGAAGTCAACTCTCCAAGCTGCTGACTAAGCATCTCCCTGGGCTCTCATAAACTGGGGACCGACCCTGAGTCTTGGAGTCTGCCTGCTGCCTTTAAGCTCCCAGCTCCTACCAGGTGTGATGGTGCTCTTGAGACAGAAGCAAAACCTGGGACCAGCAGCACAGATGTCACCTGCTCTGACAGAAGTCCGTTCCTTTCTTTCATCATCGTCATTCCCATTGTTTTCATACTTCGCATAGTCTGTTTACACTGGAAACGAAGAAGGTCACCAGGTAAGCAGTGATGTCCAGTCCTGTGAGGGCTCAAGTCTAGAGCGTTCGCATCTCAGCCACCTTCTGCAGCTCTGGAGTGGGCCTGAGGAGCATTTTCTCTGTCTTGGGTAGCTGTGCTGGTCAGGGGAGGCAGGCTTCCTGCCCTTCCTGAGTCTAGATGCCATGTGGTCTTGGAGGGAGAAGGTGACCCCCTGACGAAAATGTTCTCTGCCACCCCTGCCTACTACTCACTGGCAAGAACCCTGAGCTCCTGTCAGCCTCTAGGGGCTGTGGGGGACCCAAAATCGCCTGTGCTCAGCTGAGAGAGGCTCCATGCTGGAAGATCTGCAGCCCCTCATTATGGACAAGCCTGTGTCCTCACCAAGATTTAGGGCCATTCATTCATTCCCTAGTCCATTTCTCTGCCCCTCCTCTGGGCAAGCCCTACCTGGGCACTATTGTCCTGCTGTGTCCTCAGCTCTGGCTTTGGGGAGCCCTGTGCCTGCCCTTTTAGGGAGCAGGCACTAAGCAAAGAAATTCAAAGGGAGAAGTAAGCTACCTCCTTGGACCTGGTGATAGCAGATCCACATGTGTCCTCACACCTGGGTCCTTGAAGTGCAGGGAGGTCTCAGGGTCTCAGGGTCTGAGACTCAAGCAGGAAGGAAGTGACTAAATACCCCTTCTCCCCCAACTCTGGGGTGCCTGCTTCCTGAGTGGTGGGTGGGGGTCTTTGCTCTGCCAAATGTTCTCTTTCCATTGATGACAGAGTTAGGTATGAGTGGGCTTTACCTGGAGGGGAGCTTGAGGGGAACTATTTTGCTCCATTCCTGTCCCTTATGGTTCTGGGGTATTTCTGGGTGGCATGGTGGTAGTGGGGCTCCCTGGCAGCTCAGGAGGTGGGCGGGGGGGGTCCCCTGATCTTCTCCCATATCCTGTCTCTGAAGTGTTAGTCTTGACAAGGTGCCCCATTTATAAAGGGTCTTGCCTTTTCTCAGAAAGAGTCCATCTCCTGGGGGAGGTCACACAGTAGGAAGTCCAGAATGTGGGTTCTACCCCTACCTGGCTGTGTCCCCTGGTCAGAGGCTTGGCCCTGACATGTGTGCCTTTGTATTGCAGGTGACGTGGAAGCCTCTTTCCAGGTATTATTTTTCACCTGCCTTTGCCTGCCCACCGTGTTGCTGGGTTAGATGGGGGCTGGCCTCTTAGTTCTTTGAGTATCCAGAGTCTTACACTAAGGCCATGCAGCCTCTAGAGGAGAAGACATAATTCCTCAAATTAAAAGCAGCAAAAGATGGGGTCAGCAGGTGGCTAAGGCACTGGAGTCCCACGTGGCCTACCACTGTTCGTCTCCTGGACACAGAAGCTTAAAATTCATGCCAGGCACATGTGCATGCATGCCCAAAATCCTGAGAGGATAATGAAGGAGAAGGGGTTGAGGCATTGGCCATCTCCCCCCTGGGGGGTGGGGGGGTGATGTCTCACTTTCTCTCTTTCTCTGTCTGTCTCTGTGTCTCTGGTGAGCACATGTACACTATAGCAAAAATCTCTCAAAAATAAATAAATAAATAAATAAAAATTAAAACAGCAGAAGAGGGGCCAGACAGCATAACAGCAGTAGACTGTAACGACCTGTGAGGCAATCCCCCTTGGGAAGGTTCCTGGTTCAAGTCTGGAGATCTCCCCAAGCACCCTGGCACATGCTTGGCCCTGGCTTAGCCTAGGGTGGATTGCTGTGTCAAGCACCTGTTGAGAGTGCTGTCTCCTTGCTTGTGGGAGAAATAGATAAATAAACTAGAAAAAAGGGAAATAAACGAAGAAAATGATGCTGAGAAACACGAGGCTCCTCCTGAAGGCAGGATCTTCATGCTGAATTTATCTATCAGGGAGAAACACGAGATGCAAAATGCGAAGCCACAGTGACTCAGCCCCTGCAACCCCTGCAGGATGTCACCACAGTGGCTGTGGAAGAGACAGCACCTGCGATCCCAAGGAGGGACCCTAACCGCTGATCAACAGGCTCTGGGACCAGACTTCTGGGGCATCTCAGGCAATGCCTCCTGAAAGCTGCCTCCACCTGGGGGCCTGGGCAGCTTGGTGGGACCTGTGCTGAGCTGGCTTCAGCTCCCACCAGCAGAGGAAGAGATGGGAGTCACTCTCATGGGCTGGTGAGAAGCCACTTGAAATCCTCATCAGGCAAATGGGGGCCCAGAAGGGTCCCCTCTGCCCAGGAACCCAGCCTTGTGGGGAGAAGTGACAGCTCTTCTTGGCTCCAGGACTCCTGCTTCCTAGCCCTCCCAGCAAGCCCAGAATGGCCCTGGCACAACCCAGCTCTCCGTCTTTGCTGAATCCTTGTGAACTCAGCTTGCTTATCTGGAGGATGGGCCTGTGGGCACTACCTCAGGGGCTATGACTGGACAGGCTGAGCCTTGAAAGTGACAATAAATTTTGTACTAATTCTCTAAGTTGGATTTGCATTCTGCTTCTTTTTCATATCTGTCATGAAAAAATATATTTTGACAAGATCCTTTGAGGTAAGGTCTAAAATATCCTATTTCTTATCAAACTTCTCTCAATTGATGCTTTTTTCCTGAATTCCTGTTGCTATACTGGCTCTAAACAGAGAGGCTTTACTTGTGTCGTTTTTCTACCTTAGCAGGGATTCCATGGTAAGCTCTAACTTTCCTCTTTCCGCCATTGACTGGATGATGAGTGTGCTTATGCACGGCCACCATGATAATGTCATGGTTTCTTACTTTGCTCACCGGTTCTAGTCCATTTTCGCATCAGTATTCTTGCTTGAAGACTGAGTGCTATGTGAACAGTGATGCTGTCAATCTAGAAAAGAGGTAAACTGCGACGAAACATATAAAGCAAAAAGGAATTTATTTGGGTTAAGGTCGAAGAATGCAGCTGGTTTACAGCCTGGGTGAATATCTTGAGGTAGCCCAGAAAATGCTCACTGAGTTTTATAATCCTCAGGGGTTTTTTGTTTGTTTGTTTGTTTGTTTGTTTGTTTTAAATTATTTTATTCGTTCATTTATTATTTTTTTTTTCACATTAGTTTTGCCAGAGAAAGAGAGAGTGAGAGCAAGCTGCTAGGTTCGGGACTCGAACCGTGGTCAGCCATGTGGGAATTCCAGCGCCTTAACCACCACGCCAACTGCTAGCCCAATCCTCAGGTTTAAAAGACAAAAAAAGGACTTCTGAGCAGCCCCTTTCAAGGATTAGGACAACTGAAGGTTTTCTGCCCAGACTTCACTCTCCTGACCCCCATATCTAGCTAGGAAAAATATATGTAATCTGGGGCTGACAGATGGCGTGGTGGTTAAGGGTACTGGACTCCTATATGGCCGACTGTGGTTCGAGTCCCAGACCTGGCAATTTTTTTCCATTTATTTACTTATTTTTACAGTTTTCCACAAATACTTTACATATCAAAAAATGTTTGCTCATACTCCATAGTTCCTGATAGTTAATAAACAAATTTCAAAATTTCAAAACACTGAATTTTAAAGATAATGTTCAAGGAAACAGCAGTTGGCACAATGGCTATGTCGCTGGACTCCCATGTAGTTGACCACAGTTCGAATCTGGTGGCTGAAACTCACACCAGGTGCATGTCCATGCATGTGTGCCCAAGATCCCTAGAAGAGAATGGAGGAGAAGGGATTTCAGCATGGCCATCCCCCCTGGGAGGTAATTTCTCGCTTCCTATCTCTCTGTCTCTCTCTGTCTTTCTGGCGAGCACACATGTCCTATAGCAAAAATCCTTAAAAAAAAAAAGATAATGTTCAAAATATTTCTTATAATTTTGTTTATATACTGTCTCTATAACAACAGAGACAGTATGGTTTTAAATATTTTTGAGAAAATATTTACATGTCAACTACTCAAATTGTTGAAAAGCAAATGCCCAGCACCTGAGTCACACATAAACTTTCACAATTCAGCCCTGCCTACCAAGTATTCTGTGATACACCATCTGCTAGCAAAGATCAGTCTCTTTTTCTTCCTTCAAAGTCTTTCTCAAGATAATCCTCTGGTGTGGTTGCTCTTTTGCAATCTCTACTGGTTACAATGCTGGGCTGGAAAAGTCCAGGTTATTTTATGTTATAAACTCTTTCATGTATCTTCTCTAATCCTCTCTGCCAGGCAGAACTATTTATGGTGCCAGGCCATCTTTCTAAGAGCGTCTGTTGGCTTACATGAGACCCACCTTAGTTCCATAGTTTTCTGATTAATCTTCAGGTATAACATTCCAGTCAAAGCCCTGTCCAATAATGAGTATTTCCGATTTCTGATTCAATACAACAAGCATTTTTGAAATTATGCAAATAACCCTTCTGCCACAAAGTAAGAATATTCTCAAATATTTTGCAATTCCAAAGGGGTCAGGAAGGAAGAAGGGTTTATGTTTCCATTTAAAAAAACAAACAAGAAAAATATTTTAACAAATTGCTGAACCTATCAATGCAAAAGAAAGTAAAATGCTTAAATTGGGAAAACAAAGCATAGTTTAAAAAAAATCAGTAATGTTTTACTCAAAAGTCATAAAATTCTATTTCATCAGTTCAGTCTTATGTTTAAACTCTCTTCTGTTGCATATGCAGTGTTACTGTGGTCCAATCTTTCCATTTAAATCCTGGAAGTTAATATTCAACGTTATTATTGATATATCTTGTCCCTATGGACCTGGCAATTTGCCTTCTCACTTTCCCTCTCTCTCTCTCCTTCTCTCTCTCTCTCTCTCTCTCTCTCCACTCTCTCCATCCCTCTCTGATCAAATTAAAATAAATTAATAAATAAAATATATATTAAATAAAATATATATTTTTAAATTTAAGTATAATCCATGAGATGATCAGAAACCACCACAGAGGCACAACAAATATGAGAAGCCAAGAAAATGTCTCTCCCACAAGGGAAAATAGCTCCTCATCCTCTGACAACACAAGGGAACTCATGGATATGTCAGATAAAGAATTTAGAATACTCATAGTGACAAAGCTAACAAAGATGCAAAAGAAAAGAAACAATGAACTCCAGAAGATACAGGAGAAAAGAGAGGAGCTCCAGGAGGTGAGGGAGTTCTTTCAGGATCTGAAAGGGGATATACACACCATAAAAAATAATCAAACAGAATTGTAAGCGATGAAGGCTGTAATGCAGGAAATCAAAACCTCCCTTGAAAGTATTAGAATCAGACTAGATCATAAAAAATCAAATCTCAGCTGTAGAAGACAGAACCTCTGACCTAGAAAAATTCAACAAAAATACTGAGAAAATAACCCTCCCCAAATGAGAATAATATATGAGTAATGCTATATACTATTACCCAAACATCTGGATAATTAGTGAAGGTGAAGAAAATAATAAGGGCATTGATCATCTATCCCATGAAATACTGGAAGAAAACCTTCAAAACCTAGAGAGACATTCAAATATCCAAACCCAAGAAGTGCAAAGGCCCCCACATAGAATCAACTCAAGAAGATCTTCTCCGAGACACATTCACAACCAGATTGACCAAAACCACAGACAGAGACAATATATTGAAATTGACAAGAAACGTCAAGATACTTTCAAAGGATATCCCATCAGGCTAACATTGGACCTCTCATTGGAAGCAATGCAACCAAGGAAAGAATGGGAAAACATATTTAAAGTGTTAAGTGAAAAGCAATTTCTACCAAGAATACTATACTCGGCAAGATTATCCTTCATATGGGAAGAAAAGACAAAAACATTCTCAGAGAAACAAAACCTGAAAGAATTTACCAACACCAGACCAGCTCTCCAAGAAGTGCTGAAGGGAGTGCTATACCAGGAAAACTAAAGTTGGACACACAGAAATAAGAGAACAAAAAGCATCCAAAAGAATGGCCAACTTAATAGTCGGGACAGGTCTGGAAAGATCAATAGTAACTTTGAATGTTAACTTCCAGAACTTAAACGGAAAGATCAGACCACAGTACCACTGCAAATTCAATAGAGGAGAGTTAATTAGAGGAGATTGAACTGGTGAAATAGCATTTTACCACTTTTGACTAAAACTTTGCTGATTTTCTTCTATGCTGTGTTGTCCAGATTTAAGGATTTTGTCTTCTCTTAAACTGTTGATAGGTGCATCTGATACTTACTGTTTGAACTGGGTCCTAACCTTTTTCCTGGCTTTAAGTCTTAAGCAAATTTATCTTAACATTTTTTAATTTTGACCTGCTAAAACTAGAACTGTTTTTCTTGAAATTGAAAAATGCATTAAAAATACCTATTTAATGACTGCAATAAGCTATATAGCCCTAGCTAGGTGCTACTTTATAGTACACCCATCCTACCCATTGAGGTTTATGCCTAAAGTCAGACATGTGTTTGTGGATATGTATATATCAGCTGCACTTGCTATCGAAAGTATTTAGATTAATTAAGATCTTTAGTGAATCTTTAATGAAAAAAAAAAAAAAAAGCCATGGAAAGCAATTGTGGGTACCAGAGACAGTATGGGAGGAGAGTGGGAGAGGGCAGACGGAATCAAGGGGAAAAAAATAAAAGCAAATTATATAAGAAATAAGAAACAGCAAATCATTTGTTGATGATAACACTTAGGGTGCTGTGCTGGATTGAGCCAATGTACAATGTATTCTGGATGGAAAATCTCACTCTGTATACTGTAATGATGTACAATAAATAAATGTAAATAAATTTACATAAAAATAAAAATAAATACAGGGCATAAAACGTAAGTGGGAAGGGAGAAGGAAGAGGGAGTTACTCTAGTTGTTTTGAGACAAGTATCCTTGGCTACCAGGATCATCGAGAGTGGCGTCAGTCCACAGTGAGACTGGTAGTCTCTGGCCCAATGTCCTTGCAGTAGTCCTGTGTCAGGTTGCAGTGGTCTTTGTGCAAGGTCTGGGCTGAAACTCGTATTATTGGGCCTGCTACCATGAGAAAACACCTTCTCCATGGCCTTCCTCACTCTATTTAGTTGGGGGTTAGCAAAAGTTGACACAAATGACTCCATTTTGATGCCAGAAACTTTAACAATGGTAATTCTACCATTTTTCTACCTTCGTTGCTAGTTGTTCCACCCAAAGGGTGCGCTTTCCCTTTCCCCGTACTTACTGACGTATTGACTGCCATCACGATGACTCTATGGTTTCTTGTTCGCTTATGGAGCTCTAATCCTTACTGTCATGACTTATTATCCATGACTTTTTTCGGGTGGCCATCCTTTCCAACAGGTTCCTGGGTTCTTTTGACCTTTTCCCATCATGAGAACTTTCTTCTTTTCTGGCTCAAAAGAGTACTACAGGCTCATCCTATTCCTTCTCTGCTCCCATCCTGGAATCAGACATTTTTCCAAAGAAGCTTGGCTTCTTTTAGGGAAGCTATATTCAGGATCCCATCTTGGGAGACTAGGAGTGCATCTCATGACGGGGGTGTCATTGCTTCTAGGAGTTTCCTGTGGCAG